TATGAACACGCAAGCTTTACCAAAGGGTGACCAATTGAACTGATTGACGCGTGCATCTGAATTTTGATGACTTTGATAATGAATTCGTGAATCTTGCATATTAATTACTTTCACCAACTGTACCGATGGTAAACCAGCTTTTACCATCCGTATCAGTTCGTGTATTCTGGATATACATGTGTCTTACAAACAAAAATGTACCCCCTTCTTCATCATAATTTAGAAAATGTTATGCTTAGTTGCCGATATTAAATGTTACTTGTTTCGCTTGAAAAACCTACGACTTTACCCCATATTTTGCAATGACAGAAAATTTACCCAATTTTAAATTACCAATAAAATATGTTCTTTTCGTATTACACTTATCATTTTTGTTAATTTACAATACTGACATTCCCACACCTATAGCCGGGCAAGATTTTTATTGCGAACTTGACACTTTCTAGAAATCCACATGTATCACTGTTAAAGGTATTCAATATTTATTGAAAGTGGGTTATGGATGAGAAAATAGGGGGTCTTGGAGTTTTAGAGAAATAATTGATGGGTTATATATAGGAGCGCCTTTTAAATGTTGAAAATAAAAAGGGCATGTTGAAAACAAATTGGCATATTAAGTGGGTAGTTGGAGGAAAAAGGTATTTTTTTCTATTTTCTCACCCATACCCCTCCAATCCGATAAATAAAAAATGAACAATTGTTACACACACAAGATTTGACCTTTACCTAGTGTTCTTCGTAAAGACGAAAATCTGTGCCCTGAAAAATAATTTATGTTCCATAAGTATCCATAAATGATCATCATATCCCTAAATGATCATCATCATTATTCATGTTTATTATTCAAAAGTGTTATCACTGTATAAAACTATCAGTAAAGAAAATCATTCAAGCAAAATCTGAATATTTACAGCAGCAGAACTCAGTTAGCGGGATAATATTTGCCCCGTTAAACGACTAACAGTAAAACTAAGACAAACAAACATTACTGGACCATTACAGTCACCATACCATCCACTTCACATCACATACATGTCCTACCACTCTAAATGACATCTTACACACCGTAACCTGACTGGACCATTACAGTCACCATACCATCCACTGCATGTTATATACATGTCCTACCACTCTAACTGACATCTTACACACCATAACCTGACTGGACCATTATAGTCACCATACCATCCACTGCATGTCATATACATGTCCTACCACTCTAACTGACATCTTACACACCGTCACCTGACTGAACCATTACAGTCACCATACCATCCACTGCATGTCATATACATGTCCTACCACTCTAACTGACATCTTACACACCATAACCTGACTGGACCATTATAGTCACCATACCAACCACTTCACATCATATACATGTACTACCACTCTAACTGACATCTTACACACCATAACCTGACTGGACCATTATAGTCACCATACCATCTACTTCATGTCATATACATGTACTACCACTATAACTGACGTCTTATTTTAGAGCTAGGGGGGGCTTATTGATTTAGTTGATACGCAGTAAGTTGTATGCGGTCAGGATGTAATATGATTGTAACTGAGGATTAAACGGAATCATTACTATTGACCTTCTTGTAGAATCTGTAGTGATGTACATGGCATTTTTATTATTTGATTCGCCTGTGTTAGTCTCTCAAGTATATTTTACGATTATTGTTAATAGCAAGGTTTCTCGAGGATGGACTAGTGGTACCGGGGCGCTACACTGCAATTTCAACTAACAAAAAGACTTTAATAATTCTTCACAATRAACTAGATCACAGAGTAGAAAAACTTAAGCATATGAAGTTGGAGGTCATGCAACCGAAAATGATGAACAAACTGTTGTGATTATCTAAGTGAACTACCGTATCAAGACTTTAATAAATCATCTTTAATC